ATTTCTGGATTCTTTTTTTTTTTTTAAGCTTATGTCTCTCACAGTGGACATGTATCTACGATGACCATTTCAGACTGCTCCATGAATTCTAAGTAGCAGAACTGGCAAAATAGCACGGTGTTCAAATACTTAGTTTCCTCATTTTATATATATATATATATATATATATATACACACACACACACACACACACATTTTTAAACATTGGGGAATAAAGTTTGGAGCTAAAAATGTTTTTGCCACTCACTTTTGTTTGATCTTTATCTAAAACTAAAAAATGATGTAATCAAATTCCATATTTTTGCTAAATTAATAGGAAGATTTGTAACCGAGAAACACTTACATTTCTTACTTAAAAAATATAAATATCTATATTCAAACAGCAAACAAAACTGTTTATCATTTCTTTATAGGAATTCAACATTTCAATAGGACATTATAACTACTTCTACACCAGATTATATCAGGATTCTCTAACTGTGGGTGGAGATGCCCTCCAGGATGTTGATAAGACATGTTTTAGGTTCAGAGACAAAAAAAACACAAAAAAAAATATAAAAGAAATTGTTCTGGTAATAAAGATAATAAAATCACAAGAGAAATTAAGATCAGCTATAAGTTTTACAAGTTCTTGTTTCTTTTTTCTCTTCAAAGCTGTAAACTATTAATGCTCAAATCAGTGGAGGAGAGAAAATAATTGCCATTGGGTGACAGAAGGGTAATCAATATTTATTGGATTCCAGTCTCTATCACAGAGGACAGTGTGCTCTTTTTACCAGGGTCAAATATTAGACACCAGCTCCAGGGTGGACTGGAGGAGAGGCTGGATTCTTTGTTAAACAATTAATATCTGCTCTACTTTTCCAATGCCACCAGACCAGAAGCTACATTTAAATTAGCCTATCTATAACCCCCACCCCCGTTCATAGACATGATCACAGTGGGGATCAAGTGACATGTTAATGTTACTCTGAACAGAGAAAACTACAGAAAATACCAACACCACTGACATTAGAGGGAATCAATATAAGCTGCTCACATGGAGCACATCTGTCTGCATGCACACAGCTGTCAGCCTCTCTACACATCCAGATGTAAACAATCCATTCATTCAGTCCCTAAAGCCGTTCTCTGATCTGCTGGGCTCCACTTCAGATTATGGGGAGGGGTTTACTCATACAATGAGCAGCACGTGGCCTCAGTGACCGAGACAGACGTGATAAAGATCGATATCCTGCCTCGTCGAGGGACACTCATCTATTGGGCACATGTCCGATAACAATGCCCCCTTACAGCCCATCTGTTCTCCAACAGAAAGCAGCTGGTAAAGCCGAGCAATGGCAACAGTTTACAGTAAGTTGCTTGGTGATAGTTGCTAGGTCACCGAAGATTTCTCTCTAAAACATTTTTTTCATTTTCAATTTAAAAGCCTTGAAGGGAATTAATATGAAACGTTGGTTTAGATTTTTATGGAAACATGGAGAATAATTTGAACCTTTCTGATGTTTCACAAAGCAGCAGAAGCAGCTTTAAGCCAAAATCTTCAACAACGACCATGACAAGACTATGTGGATCATTTAGAGCACCTTATAACATCTTATAATAAGCAGAGCTGAGAGGAAATCCATTAAGCTATTTGATAACAAATTCATGAAAGGCTGAAAAATCAGTTTCGAAATGCAGCTTTGGATCACTTGAATCACTTACTCTTTATGAATCTGCATTTTGCCATTTATCTCGGTTTGTGGACATTATTAGGAATCTAATGAAATGTTTAATCAAATATAAAAAGAATCAACTACAACTTACTTGTGAAAACCTTTAAATAAAAAGGAACACATTTTGGTGACAGAGGCGTTGGATGTAGGAGTTTGCTCTACCATCGTAGGGTTGACGGTTCAAGGCCCAGCTCCAGCTTTCAGTGTCGTTCTTTCCTTGGGCAAGACACTTCACCCGCATTGTCAACTGATGGCGGTCAGAGGGTGTGGTGGTGCCGGTGTATGGCAGCCTCGTTTCTGTCAGAGAGCCCCAGGGCAGCTGTGGCTACAATGTAGCTTGCCACCATCAGTGTGTGAGTGAATGACTGAATATATTGTAAAGCGCTTTGGTCAGGTCGTCTGACTTGAAAAAGCGCTAAATAAGTACAGGCCATTTACAAGTTTAAATGTCATCTCATATTTGTTTCACCAGTTTTTCATCTCAACATTCAACAGTATGAAGTGATCCGCTGTTATCAGACTGATCGCTCCTCACATTTTCTGTCTAATCAGTCTCTCCAATGGGTTTCTCCTCTCCTTTATAAATCAAATAATTCGTCAAATTTTACGTATTGTGCAAATGTAAAATATTCCCTGTATGATCATTGACCTCTCTTCAGGATGCTGTGTGTGCGCTGGCATTAGTGGGCTGAAGGGTAAGGATGTCCTTCTAAAGCCAACTCCATAGTGTTTATCAAATTCACCATCAGACAAAAAAAAAATGTTTAAAATTTTTTTTAAACCCAATAGTTCTCATTTGGGACGTCCCAGTTCAATGAGCCGCCATTTTATAAAGCCTACTGTCCTTCATCATCATACCCACCTCTTGAAAATATTTTCTGTGATTTATTCATGCTGTTTTTCAATCAAATAAGCCTTTTTCACAATCCAGGCATTTCCAAATTTTACAATGACATTGACTGAAACTGTAAAGAGAGAATCAGCTGCTGTGATGTGATCTGCTCTACTCCCTGCACTACTACATCTCCAGCTGTTTATAAACACATTCAGCATCTTTTGAAGCTAAGCAGCTATTTTAATGAAGTAGAACAACTATGACGTGAGGTTTTGTGGTCAGGTAATTTACCAACACATCACAACGCAACGCACCAAATGGCTCTGCTGAGAAAAAAATCATTAGTTTTTAGGAATATTTTGTTGTACATATAAGTTTAATCTTTGTATGTGCATTAAAAGTGACTCATCAAGACATTTGAGTAGCTGTTTAACTGGGGGACTGCTGGGAAAGAGCTGCATGGTCAAAATACGAATGTATACTTAAGAATACAGATCAAATGTGGGTTGATAGCTATTGAGTGTTCAAAGTGTTTTACTCTGCTCTGCAATAGAAAGGTCAAATACTAAAAAAGCATGTTTCCATTTTCACGTATTGATAAAATCTCAATCTCCTGAATTTTTAGTCTCCAAATCCGCAAACATACGTAGGCATAAATTTGTTTTTAATTTTAACAAATAATGATTAGGGAGGTCATTTGATGCTGATTCTTTAATTTCCTATTTGATTTGATTTCAACGGTCCTAATAATTTTAATTCTGAGTTTTACACAGAATATAACTTAAAACATAATTTTACCTGTAATGCGTAAATCCTAAAGAAAGTTGGCCAACTACCTCAACAAATCCCTGACAAGTAAAAGTGGGACTCATCACCACCCAGTTATTATAAAACCCAGTTGCTTAACTAATCACACCCAGCATTCAACAACATATAAATGATAGTTGCTGATTTTACTTTGTCCCAGAGATGGGTCAATTTGACATACCTGAATATACATAATAGTACATGTCTCCAGGGAGCGTGCTCTCATACACAGAAACAGTGCATGCTGTAACTCCCACGCAGCAGCTTTGTGTTGCAGGGCGTGAACAGACCAGAGTTCTCCAAAATAACAGACTGAACAGAATGCAGTGTGGCACACATTTGAAGCACGGCGGATTCACTCATCGCTAACGCGTGGGGACGTTGCATAACAAGGAGCAGAACAATGCAGACGGAGTTCACCGCCATTTGATTGATGCTAGTTTCTAGATAATATTCTTCAGATGTAAACTAGCTCTCTAAGCCACCTGCAGAGGTGTAAATCAATGAATATTCCTGACTGAAGGGAACGTCTCTTACATGCTCTTATCTATGAATGAGGTATATAAAATATGTCTGCTGAACCAGACACACCCTTTAGACATTATTCTTTGCCCCCTGCAAAAACAAATGATTTTGTGATCATTTAATGAACAGTTTTACAAACATATTTCATTTTGGAAATTTATTTATTTTATGAACAGAAAGTTACAATAAAGTTTATATAGAAAATAAAGTATTTTTGAAACTAAGATGGGAATACTGTGTGGAAATGTGTGAACAGGCAGGTCAGGTGTTCACTGGGCTGCATCGGAGATGGTGGTCTGGAAGGCAAATGTGATGTGGCTGCGTGCGTGGTCGAGGTAGGGGTCTGAGTAGGAGTGTGTGTCGCCAGAGAAGTGTCTCCACTGCATGAGCTCGGACATGCTGAGATGCTTCTGTGCCGCCCCCTTACGGTCGCCCTGACGACCAAGCTGGCAAGGCCTGTCAGAGATCTGCTCCACCTCCTCCCCCTCCACGTCTGAGAAGGAAAAGGAGAGTGAGAGAACGCATTGGACAAGCTGTGAAGCCACAAAAGCATGAAGGCTGCTGGAATGTTTCCGTATTTTACTACAACAAGCTTGGATGCCCTTTATCTGGTTTATCAGGTCTGGATTTGGACTGGGTGAATGTAACGCTTGAACATGCTTAGACCTATACGGTCCTGTTAAGGTGTAACTACAGGTCAGAAGTTTTCCTGATGGAATGTGAGCCCACCCTCAGTTCTTTTATAGACGCCAACAGTTTTTTCTCTCTAAAGTTTCTATTATCCCTGAACAGCTTCGATGCCCTCGCTGTATGCCATAAGCAAAGATATTAATTTTGCACATTGACGACCAAAGTTCATACTGATTTTTTGAAAGACCCTCTAAAAGACACTCTAACAGGGACATGGGATCCTGCCCCCACTGTGCTTGGGGACAAAAGCGACTACTCATAGACCTCATCCTCTTTTGTGGCTCTCCAACCAACTAGATTGGAGAGACCCCATGAATGGAAGGCCATGCAGTCAATGGGAATCCACACCTTCCAATATCCAAAAGCTAAGGGAACCATGTGGTTAATCTCAGAACCAGATTCTAGAAAAACAGACTTTCTGCAACATTTTTCTCCAAGTTTACAGGATGGAATAGTCTGAGAAGTCACAGACTGGGATCTAGAACCAGGAAACCACAAAGCACAAAGACTCTACCATAAGGCCATCCTGATACAGACCAATACAACAACAGAGCCTGGGCTAAGCTTTCCTCAATGATGCTAAAGTAAACTTTATTTCCCTTATATTTACATTTAATTACCAAAATATCAACAAAATATTCTTTTTTTAATTGAGTCCCACCTCCAGTTAAGACACAACTTAAGAGAGGAAATAAACAAATAATGTGTGTATGCATCAAAGCCAAAGTTAATAAAAGTAAAAACATAGAAATTACAGACTCTAAAAAGACTGACTACTGATTATACCGTATAAGGGATAAATGGCAGAAGAAAGCAAATATCACCATCTCTGTTGGGGTTGGGAATAAATAAATTAAAAACAGTGGAAAACAAGACAGAGAGCATGAGTGGAAAAACATTTCAAGATTCTTTGTAACACTAAGAAAATTAATGAATGCAAAATGTTGGAGATCAAGAGGGGCAGATCATCTGTGTATGTTGGTTCAATTAATCTTCACTAGTCAAGAGTTTTTAACTGAAATATGTTTGACTCATAGTTGAATGATTTATGGTCATGAATTCTTATATTTTGAAAAGAAGTTGTTGTGAATTTATTCAATATATGTGCAGAGTTATCTGATTGAACGGGATTCAACAGAACACAGCAAGTTTGGCGTGCGTTCACAGAACAATAAGTTCAAATATTATTTGATTAAATAACACATTTGCTAATACTAATACAGAACCTGATTTAAATATTTTGTAAAATGAAAATGATTTCAAGGGGTATGAATACTTTGGGATGGACTGTAGCTGCGGTCATGTATAATTTTAAGTCAGAGAGTCGGGCCTACCGTTGACCGACCCGTCCATGCTGCAGCTGCAGTTCAGCAGGTCATGAGTCAAGCACGGCGTGTCGGTCAGACTGAAAAGATCTCGCAGCTCACTGGTAGAGAAACTGGTGTGTTCAGCCGCTTTCCCCAAGTCGACCACGGTTCCTGACAGGCCCTGTTTGGACACCTGTCTCTGAAATATACGCTCCTCAATGGTGCCTTAGAGGGAAAAAGGGCAGATTTGGACAACAAATTTGAAATCATTGTGGGTTTTAACGAACTTGCTCCCTGATTAGCAGCATGTTTTGTATTCTTGCCTGCAGTAAGGAGGCGGTAAATGTGCACACTCTTTTTCTGTCCATCTCTCCAAACACGAGCCATGGCCTGCACACAGAATAAAGTCTTTCAGAACACAAATGGTACATTAGAGCACCATCTAGTGGCTTTAAATCTGCTTCAGTGTTAACTATGAACCATTGGTTGAGATCATCTGACCCATCATTAGCAATACTGAAACAAGATTTAACAAACATGTAGAGCTGTTAGTTTTTCTGCATATGGATGACTGTCTGAATCTGACCTGGATGTCATTGGCGGGGTTCCAGTCGATGTCATATAGCACCAGGTGGGACGCTCCGATCAGATTGAGCCCCACCCCGCCTGCTTTGGAGCTCAGCAGGAACACAAAGCTCTGAGAGTAGGGGCTGTTAAAACTGTCAACCAGTCGCTGGCGCTGGCTTACAGGTGTCTGACCATCCAGCCTCAGGAATGTGTAACCGGCGTGTACGCACATGTCCTGTAGTAAGTCCAGAGTCTGAGTGTAGTTTGACACCAGAACCACCCTGTAGGAACATGTGTTAGTAAACGGTGTAGATGATCAGAAAAGAAAACAGACTTCACTCACCGATCTGAGGGGCTGAGCTGTCTGATGGCACTCAGCAGGTCAGAGAGAACTAAAAGTTTTCCAGAGTCAGAGGTGCTGAATCCAGCCAAGGAATAGGATTCTGGGAAGAGATCGGACAGCCCCTCGTATAAAGAACTCTCCATAGATCCACGGTCAGTCCTCTCCTGCAAGAAGAGCAACACTATCCATCAATATTTCCTGATGTGCACAAGACTCAGAGCTAGGAGTTAATAAAACTGCACAGTGGAGTCACTGGTTACAGCAACAAGTTTCCACAGAGATGAAGATTTCCCTCCTCCTTCCAAATATTAGGCAAACTTAACCTTGACAGTGGTGTGGAGCAAACCAGGATGGTTGCAGAGCTTCTTTAGTGCAGTGATGCAGGCCAGGTGTGTACTGCTTTGAGTAAAGCCCTGAAGGCAGGCTCTGAAGACCTGGTGGCAGAGGAGATGTCTGTACAGCTTCTGCTGCAGCGGGGACGGCATGCAGAACAATGTCCAGTCCAGACGAGGTGGTAAGTAGCGGTTAATGATTTCCTGTGTCCGTCTCAAAATGAACATGCCAGTGAGACGAGAGAGTTCAGCAGCACGCTCTTCCCCCAGAACTCTGTCCTCCTACAGAAGCAGACAGAAGACTCGTAATAAAGAACTTTCTGTAAAGAGGGCAAGGAAACAGACTAGAAAGGGATGCTTACATTCATTATCATAAGTCCTTCCTTTTAGAATCACATTTCATTATCTGCCATTTTTGATTTTGATTTTTCTTTCTGTTATACAAAAACCACAGTTGAAAACAAAAATATCTACAAAAACGTCTTTGACTGAATATGCCAACCTCCTCAGGTGGAATACCTATAGCTTCTCCCAACTCAAATTCTATAAAACAAATCTATTAAACTCCGATTAATAGATTTGCCCACATTTGTAATGAAAACGCAGCAAGTGTCTTCACTTCAAGCCTAAAAGAAACTCCAACACGCCTAACTCCAACACAGACCAATTAATTAATTATTTGTCAAATAATTGTTAGTTACCAGCCTAATAAAAAGCTGGAGCTTCTTACTTCTAGAAACTGGTCTTATTTATGCAAGAATATATTGGAGGATGAAGCATTTTCCAAACCAGAGTTGGGAAAACATTTTTTCCAGACTCTGGTTTTCTATTTCTCCATTTTTCATGCTTTTCAGATTGCAAAGGAATCCTGCATTAAAAAATAATGTTTAAAGTCAGAAAGCAGAGCATTACTTCAGAGCAGGATGGCTGTCTGGAGCGTAGAATTGGTTCCTCATACACTTTTCTATAAGCCGTTGTCGAACCAAGAATTCCTGGGTTAACAAACTCTATAATGGCGTAGAACTCCTGCAGGTCGTTTTGTACTGGCGTCCCTTCAAAATCAAAACCAATCATCATTGATATGGTTGCCAGTTGTTTTTAAACCTAAAAAAAAAAAAAAATGACTCAAATGCGTCTTTACCTGTGAGTATGACTCTGCGGTTACAGCTGAGGCTGCTGAGGGCGGAGGATGTTTTGATGCTGCTGTTCTTCAGCCTGTGACCCTCGTCGCAAATGATGAGCCCAAACTCCACTTTCTGGATCTGAACAAAAAAAAAAAAAAAAAGAGAGAGAGTTAAAGGAGCCTGGTTCTGCTGGCGGTTTTCTTCCAATTACAAGGTAATTGTTCCTCTCCGATGTCGCTACAAGCATGTTTGGTGTTTTATTCAGCAGATAAAACAGGAAAATTGTGTTCCATTTAGACAAATATGGCAGCTTAGGTGTTTCATAAAAATTTTGAGCCAAGAGGCATTAAGCACCCCGACTGCCCAAAAAGCTGGCCATGCAGTGCAGCATACACCTCATTGCAACCACCTTAGGGCATCCATCCCTGTAATGGAGAAGATCAATGGTGGCCTCAAATATTTGTGAGTGGATTTTGTACAATTATGCAATGTACAAACAGATTTATTGTGTTGTGAACAGGTTCATGCTTATAAAATGTATGTTTAGCTGTGTGATGACCTCACAGTACCTGCTCCAGGCCGCGCAGCAGCATTTCGTAGCTGATCACGAGAACACTATGTAGAGGAGATAACAGAAACTCCTCTATCCTGTGGTCCTAAACAGATGACAATGACTGTTAATTATTCAGCTCATGTGAGCCAAGAGGGAAATAATAGATGGTAATTAAAGAAGTTTACTGAGGCAGCTCAGTTAGCTCTAATAGGACAAGTCATTAAAATGTATAAATACTAATTAAGAAAAAACAACTAACAATGGTTACTTTGCTGTCATGTGTTTGGATAAAAAAATCAAGTCCACACCTGATCCACAGTGAAGATGCTGATCCTTTCCCGGCCGAGCCACTTGTTAAACTCTGCTCTCCAGTTCTGCACGAGGCTGCCAGGAGTGACCACGAGGACCCGCTTCACAATCGGTTTACCGCCGTAAGGGCCTTGCTTCAACAACGTCCAGCACAGCGCCACACTCTGCAGAGTCTTCCCAAGACCCATCTCATCAGCCAGGATGGCGCCGTGGCGACCTGCAGCTCTGAAGCACATGATCCTGTAAAGATACTGATGGAGGCAATGGTTGCATGTTTAACAGAGACTTTCTACAGTAGTGACTTAAGGAACATCCTTCCTACCTCATGCCCATAACACACTCATAGAGGAAGAGGATGCCCTCCCTCTGGTGGGGTCGCAGGTGCGTGGTCAGGTGTGGGTCAACCACCACATCAACCACAGAAAGGCCTGACTTGTTGTGAAGCCACTGGTGGTTAGAAGAGGGGCGAGGCATCACCAGCGCACCTGTTGGAATATGTTTCCCAATCCCAAACGCCGCTGATTAATATTTACCCACCTCAGCATGCTGAGTGCTGGAAGTTGCTATCATCTCAATTCGGACAGTAATTATTTGGAGACCGGGGCACTAAGAGAGCAAGTCTCTATTAGTGCATTAGAATAGAATAAAAGAATAGAAATAGAATGTACTGTTCCACAGTGTGGGAAATTCTCATGTTTTATGGAGTGAGTTTTGTTTCATTATTCTTAAAGAAAAGAACACGTTTGGATTTGATTTAAAAAAAATGCAATCAAGCAATGGGGCCACATAGTCCAAAACGTTTGGGGGATTTTTTGACCAAAAATTGTTTCCAGATCAAATTTTCTTCACTCTGGGGGGGTTTTGGTCTAGATTGAGGTGCGAGGACATATTGGTCTGTGTTGATGTTAGGAACAACATTTTAATCGGTCAAGAACAATGGTTTCTTTTGGGCTTGAAGTGAAGACACTCGAACATGCAAACTTTACAATTGCAAATACATTGGGCGGCATCATCCTCCAACGTCCGGTCTTCTTCCTCTTTTTGCACGTCGATAAGGTCCAGTAGCAGACCACATGACTCGTGTGATGCAAAATATGTGTTTTCATTGCAGTTTTGTGAAATATAAGAATTTTGATATGACCAAAAAAAACCCCACCCCATCAAAGCATAAAAACTTATCCAAAAAGGTTTATTTTTATTGAAATTGCAGTGCTTCCATTTCATTTTTATAATCACAATTTAATGGTTATTGGAAACTTACCAACTCTTATCTGTAAAACCCAATTTGAAAGAAAAATGCCAATTGCAAAAATCCATCTGGAGAGGAGAAATTTAAACAAAAAAAGAAAATGTAACATTTGTAAGTATGAAAAAAATATATTTATAAAACTAAATATGGAATTGCTTTAAGAAAGCAGCAAAGCTGATCTCAAAACCATTTTTTGATTAAGACATTTTCATTTTGAGTTTGCATCTACCCCTGCCCTGCCCCAAATTTCCATTTAAGAAATTTCTTCTACGCTTGCAGCAATAAATGGAACCAAATCCACTCTGTGGGATAGCAGCAGCAAAACAAAGAGGCATAGAAAAGCATGCATGTACACACAGGACTGCAAAATATAAAAAACGAGCACACAAAAAAAGTAACATTTATAATCAGATTATGACCAAGTATGAAAAAACATATATAGCATACATTTTTAAACTTTCTGCATTAATCCTACATACCTGGAGCTAAGGGGTCATATCGAGGTTTGCTGGTTTGTTCCCCTTGTGGTTTATTATTTTCTGGAAGCCCTGATCTCCCCAACATTGACGGGGGGCAGAAGCGTTTGGAGTTAAAGCTGCGAGAGGGAGGCGGGAGAGCCTTTGTGTGCGACTCTGCTTGATCTGTCTGAACCTCCTGGAAACAGCGTCCTTTGGCAAAGTCCTCAGCGGAAATGATGCCCATCACCTCTATCTCCTTCCCTCCAATCATCAACGTCTCTCCCTCAGACAGTGAGGCCAGCTCTGACACCTTGTAGCCACTACCTGTTGGACAAACATGCTGCAAAGATCACCTTCCCTGACAGGCCAGCAGACTCTTTTTTTAATGTAACTTTTTTAAATCATATACTAAGAGGGATTTAAAGTTTGTTTTATATCATATAAGAATAGCTCACTCACTTCCAAGTGTGTTCTCTCTTTTTAATACAATGAAGGAAAACAAAATAACAGCAAGATCTTAAGGCTCACCCTTCCCAATATCCTTCCCCTCCATGTCTTTGAGTACAACAGAACGCCCTCTCACAACCAGAACGGCGTCACCTTCCCAGCGCTTGTGTTTCTTCTTACTGGCTTTACACCAGACCACACTAAAGTAACGGGCCCCGTCAAGTGCACAGCCAGAGTCTGCAGGATCTGAAGGAGGTTGAGGGGTTTGAGGAGACCCATGAGTCCAAGGAGGGCTTTCATTTAGTCCTAAAAGAAAAAGACACAAGATTAAAAAAAAAAAAAAAAATGTGGCTAAAACCCAAAATAAAATGTAAGCAACTAAGCCAACCAACAGAGGGCACTCTTACATTAAATCTTGAGCTTCAAAGATGGCTAAATCTTTACTGCTTACATGTACTACAGAAATATTGTACACATTATTTGATGAGGCAGGCAGTTATTTATCATCAGATGGTTATGTTTATCTCTTTAAAAATAACGATTCATTACTTATTTAACAATAAAAGGAATGACCAGTGAAGAGATCAATGCCCTTTAATAAAAACAACCAATGAACATGAGGACAAACTTCAATGCAAACATTACAAGACAACCAGCAACAAATTCACATTAAAGTGGAACATATATAAAAACACACTTATCCCTTTTCTAAAAAAACAAAAAAACAGCCGTTATCTCAGACTGTTGTTTTTTCTTTAACTTATTTTAATATCAGACCATGTTAAGGCTTTTCCAAGTGTATCTTACGAAACAATTATAATAAAAAAAATACATTTTTTCAAAGCAATACAAGTTTTCCAAGTAGCTACAAAATAAGCCCCTTTTATGTTCCTTCATATTTTGCTCAAACGCCACATGAACAGGGCCTGTCATTTTCTTTATTTCCAACTAATATTAGTACAGATGGTTTTACTACTAGCACTTATATTCTTACTGCAATCCTAACCTTGGATAATAAAAACTGAACACTATCCATAGAAAAACCCAAAAAGCTACATTTCAGTTGCAGAGGAAGAAATACTTTTCCCCTTCATGCAATCACAGCGTGAAAGATATCAAGTCTTGTCGCCACGTTTACAGGTTAACAATAACGGCGTTTGAACACTGATGAGCATCACTGGTAAACTGGTGGCTGATTAACCTGCTGGGGTAGAAGGAGAACCAGGGGTTGTGGGAATGTATGAGGCACTACGTTTCCAAAACGCCTTCAAGCTTTCATCGAAAGTATTCAAACCCTGCCGCACACATTCAGCATCTGGCTAAAACATTTAGACTAAAATAACTTTTTTTTTTTTTTTTTTTTACATTTAGTCATGTTACATCCTCTAGGTTAAGTGTATTTTAAGGGAAGATTGAACAACGTGAAACTGAGTGGATTGGCGACTATCAGAGTAAAGATTCAATTTAAACATACGTTGAAGTTTTGATCATGTTTTGTTTTTTAATACTACTTTGTGTTAATCCCATAATGTCACAATAAAATCCAGTGAAGATTATAGAACTGGGGAGGAAGGGGGGGGGTTCGAAGGGTGAGAACATATTTCCAAAGCTCAATGAGTGCATGTAGCTACTTGTTATAGAGGTATTGGCAGCCCGTGTCTCAGCCGGGCAGCTTTTAGTTTCTCCACCTTGATTTTGGCTCTTAAAAGCTCCTCCTCCAGCTCCTGCTTCCTCTTCAGACCTTCTCTCTTCTCCTCTAGGTACAGAGCAACCTTCCTGTGATTGGCCAACACCAGCTCGTGCTCCTCTTTGGCCAGGTGCAGAGGGCGAAACCTATCCGCCTCGTGGCGAGGGTAGACGTCGTTAGCGTAGAAGTCCTGGCTCAAGGGCATTGGCGAGGCAGAGAGCGCAATGTTAACAGAGGAAGAAGTGGGAGACAGGGATGCCTCGTAATTGTGGGTGCTTGCCAGGTCCTGCTCCGTCTCTTGCTCTTGAAATCCATCCAACAATGGACCCGAGTGCGGGGTGACGACGGGGAGGTCCGGCGGGGGTTTCACATCCTCTTCAGGGTCGAGCTGGACCACCTCATGCGTAATACTTGGTACAGGTGCTGAATAATCCTGGAGTCCAGCCAGAGAGGAGCTGCTGCCAGGATGCTCAACAGAAGTGTGCTTGTTATATATCAACCTACAAACAGATACAAAAAGGTATTAGAGAGATAAAAGAGAAATTTGATGGATTCATGTAGGGTTGATATATTGTTAAAGTGAGATGACATTTAGTAACAATCTTCATGTGTTTGTGCATGTCAGAGAGGAACAGGCTTATTCAAAATGTCTAAAAACATTAAAAGCTTCAGTTTAGCATCCAGTAATAAAGGAAACATCATTTTTATGTTTTGTTATTGTGCTTGATCGATTTTCTGAAATATCTGTGCAATAACAGAGCTAATAAGTTAGACATAAAGATAATAAAATAAAAACAGTTAACACGTTCTAAAGTCTGTATCAGTCATAAGCTCCTTGTTGACAAGATTTGTTTTAATTAGTGCAGTGTTATTGATCTTATTGTTAAACTGAGCATTTTCCAGGTCATATGAGATAAAACATTATTACATATCTTGCTGAGGAACATGTTAAATGAGAAAATTACTAAAAATAAAAAAGTTAAGGTGATTAATTGATGTGTTACAAAGTTTTTTTTAAAGTAATGGATGGAAGTATACGGGTTTATCTCTCAGAAAGTGTTTTTTAAAGCCCTCAGGTTAAAGTTTCACAGTACCTGCGCAGTGCCTGGTCCTTTTCATGGATGGGCACATGGTGAAACAAGTGAGGGATCATCTCCATAATCCTCCTGGTCGGCTCAGAGATGCTGCCTCTATACTCGGGCTGGGCGTGTCTCCGCTGCATCACTTCCTGCTTGGCTGACTCCTTCAGCCTCTTGTAGAGGGTCCTGAGGCCCTGGGCGGTGCGGAGGGGTCTGTCCCCTCCCAAAGCATTGTACTGCTCAGCCACGTTGTCCCAGCACTTGTTCTTGTCCACGATGACGGCGTGCTTGTTGGTGTGCTCCTCCAGGATGCGGATGTGAGGCCGGACCAGCTTTAACAGGTCCAGCTTCTCAGAGAGGGTGAAGTTGGAAGAGCGAGCTTTACCCACCATGCTGGATATGAACACGGAGTTGGAGGCCATCTTACAGCATAGCAGACTGAGATGGACCAAATCTGGCCTTCAGAAAAAAAAATGTCTTCCCTCTTTCTGAGACCAACCTCAGAACTGTGGCTCCCCACTCTGCTGGACTTGTCCTTTCCCCCTTGGTCCCCCAATCACACACTGGCCTAACACTCATTCATGTCTCAATTCCCTTCTCTTCTGCTTAAAGAAAAAAAGAATTAACCCTAAGCTTTTGCCTAACAAGGGCATGGATTCACAATCTGGTCCTGGGTTCTCTCTCACAGCTACGTTGCACAATAAAAACTGGCTCTGCTTCTCACAATAAGAATCAGGCTTAACTAGGCCAGCCTCATTTAGGCCCCCGCCTACCAGCAGAGGGCTTTGGATGAATTCCTCTCAGCTTAGGCTGACGTAGTTAAGCCGCTTAAGCCCAGCCCGACCTACTTTCAGCTCGGTCTGTGTAAACCCCAAACCAAGCACAGCAGCAGGAGGCAGCTCATTGGGCTGCTTTAGATGGAGAGGACAGCAGCTGTAGGAGGGTTTCCCTCATAGACAGAGAGGCGCGTTTTAAACGCAGCATTTAGAGGCCGCTCCGGGGCTAGGTGCTGTTTTTTTTATTTTTTTTTAACCAAGGATAGGGAAGATTTAGAATAGTGCTGGCTTAACTACGGGAGAGGAGGGGGGAGGGGTGATAATAATCTGCGCATGCGCGGAGAGGCAGCGCGCCAGCACGCTCACATCCACCAACACACCTGTTTAAGCACGTGCCCGGTGCGCGTGCATCAGTCCGAGTCAGCCACGAGCGTTTTTTTTTTTTTTTTTTTATTCTCTAGCGGCGGAGAAGCTCATTACAAACAAAAACCATAACGGTCATAATCTGAGCCAATCGGTGATAAATGCCAGAACCGAACCAGGCAAAAACCTTTACAGCTTCAGACTGTGTCATAATAAAGACGATCAGATTAAAACGAGGCAGAGCTGAAGCTGAAGAGAGGCTTATAGACACACAGACTGCTCCAAGTTTATATCCAATCATTTCTCAGGGATAGATTAGAAAATATAATTTTGCCTACAACAGGTGAACAGGTATGATTTGCAGAGATCTAATCTTGCTGTTGGTCAGTTAGTTGTATGAAATGGCTAACTAATGTAACACAGTATTATAAAAACAGAACATCAAAACATCTCTACATGGACCTAAAACCTTGATATAATCTAAAAGGCAGTTGATCAATCAAAGTTTATTATTTGTGTTAGATAGGAGGTATTCAACAGGGGGTCCACAGAGGTACTGCATGGTGATCATGAAAGTTTTGGTTGATTAGACTTTTTTTTTATATGTATATATATATATATATATTCTCTCCTGCAATTTTTTACACTAATTGAAATGTTTTTAAATACACATTACCGTAACATGAATTCAACACACTGTAGTAAACAGATAAATGGAGGCAGAAGAAGTCTTTCAATCATCAATACACACATTCAGGAGCTCTTTCAAGCTGGGCACCGTTTCATTCACAACACCTGTCCCAGCAAGGAGGAATCAGAATCAGAAATACTTGAATAATCCCAGAGCGAAATTACTTTTGTTACATTACTCCATCTGTAATAGAGTGACACAATTTCATACAATATATATAAAATTAGGGAATCCCCACTCCATCTCGCCATGTGTTAGATCATTGCCCTTTCTTCTTCTTTTACCCACCTGGGGTCAGATTTTACCCCCACCTTTCATTTCAACATTACATCTAACAATTCTCTAAGACAGCTTTATTTCACACATTGTGAATGTCAAAACTGTACAGTTAGTAGTTTTTACACTCTTTTTTTCACAGACTTATCTGGGTCTGGAAAATACTTGTGCAGAGTGCATAGGAACAAATGTTATAATTTACAATCGAATAGGTCCAACGTACTTCTATAGCAGATTTTCATTAATAAAGATTTCCTTAAAGGTTATATTAGCCATCAAATGTCAACACATAACATAAAGCATTGTAATAGTGAACCGTCTCTAAGTAAAATGGATTAGTAGTTAAAAGTTAATTCTTTCAACATAACCAAGTATAAATTAGGATTGCAGTTAGCTTTTAAATAACTGATTGTTTAAAAACCAACATCGTTTTTATTTTTGTAACACCTAAATGTGTATCTGCTATTCTGCTCTGTTCTTTTACTTTTGACTTAGACAACTTCTATTGTCATCAAAGAAAATGAAATTTCGTTAAGTGCAACTTCCATGACATTTCCATTTCTTAAAGCAGTGATCAAATGTAAACAGTGGGGGAGAAAAAACATGGCGCAAAAATACACATTTATATGGAAGTTCAGAGAATTATATATATATATATATGGTGCAATTATGCAGTGTTTTGTTTTGGTGTTGTCAGAGTCATGCAGAGTCTTTGACATGATTTAGAGTTTTCTCAACAGTTCAGCTATCTGACGGCGGTGGGGGAGAAACTGTTTTGGAATCTGCTGGACCTGCATTGAATGCTGTAAAGCCTCTTCCCAAAGGGCAGCAGGGAGAAGTCCATGATGAGGGTATGAGGGGTCATCCATAAAGTTACGAGCCCAGGACACGCAGCACTGGGATGAAATGTCTTTTATGGAGGGATGAGGAGCCCAAATGATCTTCTCTGCTGTTCTCACCAGTTAGTTTTAGTTAGTTTTTACCCAAAACAGAAAACAATCAAGGGACTCCTGCTGTTCTGTCTTATCACTAATTATAAGGCTGCACTTTAAACAGAGATTTCATACCCTAACACTCAAGTTTCCTCCTCCAGGGTGATTTTATTTAACCCACAGGTTTGATATCAGCTCATATCTTCAGAAAAGCCAATGTTGCCTCATTTCCGCCACCTGGTGGATCATTTCAGAAATGCCACCCCAAGTCCACAGCATTTAACAAGATCTTAATATCACCTTGATGGACTATTGAAAAAGGGGAAATTCAATGTTTCCTCACATTTTGTTTTTCAAAAATGCTTGTGATACCCTTCAGCAATAAGTTATTAAATAATCTAAACTAAAAGATCAATAAAGAAACAAAAGGAAATAAAAAAAAGAAAAGAATAAACCTGTCGATTAAACGACTCGTAAAACCATCCTGCTAAAATCTGAAAGCTGTTTTAAAACATGGACATGAAAAATATGTTCTAATTCTTCAGATAGTACAGAAAAATCCAAACTGAATATTTCAGGGATGGTGAAACAGTTAGTTGGCATTTTGTTTAATTCATCCTTTGTGTCCAGAGCGACTGAATTTAATGAGGCTGCTACAGAGCATCTTGTTTTGTTCTTGGTTAATTTAGTGTATTTTTATGGCACACATTACTCAGCTAAATACATTTCAGCTGCAGCCAAAAAGTATTTGTTGAGAAAATGAGCTGAATAAAAAAAAAAACATAACTATTGCTATCAATCAGTTACCTTACCTGATAGATTTACATCCTCTGTATGGTCACTTGTAGAGTCTTCATATTTTGTCTCTATCAGGTTTTCTTTAGTCTCTGTAGCACTGAGGACACAGGCCAGCACTTTGGACAAGCCTGGAGGAGCCTGGCTAGTTTCAGCCTGAACAGTGCAGGTGGTTTTAGTCACAACTGATGCTGAAAGACTTCTGTGGACCTGCAGACGGGAGTTAGAGAAAAAAAAAAATTAGCAATATTTGGAAATATTTTTCCCAAATAACAAGGTGAGCCGAGCCTTTATCTCAGACAAAATCTTGGATAAACTTACCTTATCCAGAGCATTCTCCAAACCATGTTTAGAGACAAGAGGCTTTGATTCAGTTACTGGATATAAAGCAGAAGCTCCGGGTGGCAGGAACCGAGGTTTTTTCGCTGCATTACCCAAAAGCTGACTGGGAGCTCCTGAGCGTCGCATTCTTTAGGTGTAAACACAAAATAAAATGTTACAGGGTCACTAATCTATATGTATTCCATTTCAGATTATTACTATAATTCAGATTAACTTGTAATTTACCAAAGTATTTTTCAAACCTCTTACAGTAAAAAATTAAATACAAAAAGTCTTTGGTTTGTTATGATCCATTGTGTAGAGGGAGAAAACACAAGAGAAATAAACAGGCTCTTATCATTACTGGTGGTATCTCATAAACCATACATAGAAATCCAAAATAATTATTTAAAGGTCAGCAATTCAACAACTGAATTTGCCTTCTCTACAAAACAAGAAGCTGATTAGGTGAGGATTGTTTTGTTTGCAAACAGTGAGACATTGTTTCAAGACCCAATCATCCTTACAGAAATGCCAAAAATCTTTAGGTTTCTTGGGTGCGGGTTAACAAAAAAAATAAACCAGCTCTCATCTCTTATTTTTATGCAAACTGGCACAAAAAAATCCTAACCCTAATGTGATTATTCTCTAGTTAACATGTTAATAACCAAACCAGTACAATATGATTGTTTTAGTTGGATTAAAATTCACTATGGTTTACAAACAACTGTATTTTTTATGAAGTAATGCCTTAAAATCGCTTCTCCTTCGTAGTCGCAGGTTGAATCCTTAACCTTTTTGTTTACCTCCAGCTCATTAGATGAGATCCTCCTTGTAGCTACATAGAGAAAGAAAGAGATGTACCTTTGCACATTTCATATCAGCAGGATTGATCTGTTGTCAACATGACATAAATTACATCTGTGATTTTTAGGGTGACATTAAAATAACAACCAAGTTAGATGTAAACACAGAGCTGGAAGCCATCTAGATCCTTCAAATACTGTGAGACTGGTAATCACCACAATTACTAAATAGCCTAGCTAGCTTTAAACTAATGCAAGACAAACATTATGATTATTATTTAATTTCATGTAATAAGCTAACTAGTAAAACTGTTAAAAATCCCTCTAAAGAAGTACAGCTCTTGAGCATTTAATGTTAGTGAAACCGAGCAGGATGTTTTCAAACATTTTTGTCATTTTGTAGAAAATTTAAACTGAATCTCAGCTAACTAAAACCTTATTTTTCCCGTCCTGCTCATCAACCTGCTTATTATTCTGAGACAGACTAGCAAACAAAAAGTTATAAATCAACACTTAATGAAAAGTGGCGAATGCGATTAAAACATGACGTAAAATTATGTTATACAACATCTTATACATACCTAGAAGGGATAAATGTCACATAAAAACAAAACGACTCGATTGAACTGAACTTTTACATCAAAACTCTGGACCCGTTTCCGTTTCTCCCGCTGAATTGCGCAAAGAATCTGATTGGTTGAAGACTTCCGGGAGGGGTGGCCAAAATTCTTCTTCTTCTTTTTTTTTTATCCGCTGATGGCAACCAACTTAGGGAGCATTTACCGCCACCTACCCGACTGGAGTGTGATTATCAACGATGTCAGACGGAATAAATTAGCATTGTGTAAATGCACATGCATACAAACATCTATATTCTTACAATTAGATAATACAGTGTTTTTAAAAAATCTAATCAACTGATTTCTTGTAGAATTAAATTTACTTCCTAAAAGGTTTATCATTGAAATTCCAATTTTTTCTCTATTTAGTCTTGACTTTAAGTGCTGACGTTCCTGTGAATATTTATCACATTCTAATGATACATGTTCCACTGTTTACATTTGATTACAGTAATTACAAGTCCATGTTTCTATATTTTGAAAAGAGAACTATGAAGTCCAGTATGACCAATTCTAAGTGAAGATATGACTACCTCTTCTTTCCGCCTTCCATTTGTACAACTATTACCCCCCACAGTCTTTTGAATTTTATACAGATCTCTACCTGTGAAATGATTATCCCCTTGTTCCTGTCAAACCTTACAGATTTTATTCTGAATTATAGATTTACGCTCACAATTGCTTAAAGGAATATTTAAGTTAATAATATCTAATTTTAAGGCCTGTTTAGCTAATATATCTACACTTCATTTCCTTCAATCCCTACATGAGCAAGAATCCAGACAAATCAAACCAAACATTTCTTATTATGAAGATGAACTAATAGGTGATATATATCTAATAATAAATCTAATCTACAAGACTTGCCAGATTTGATACTTAATAATGCAGCTTGACTATCTGATGCAATAATATAACTATTTCCTTCCCTAACACAATCATCAAGCAACCATTCAAAAGCTAGCATAATGGCAATTAATTCAACTGTAAAAACTGCTAGATGATCTGTTCTACTTTTAATCATGACTTTATGGTGTGGGATATTCACAGCTGCTCCTGTTCTGCCACTATTTGGATCTTTAGATCCATCTGTAAATATAGAAATATCCATCTGTAAATATAAATATAGATATATAATATCCCATTCTGGAGTCTTTCCCTTTTTAATAAATTCCCCCAATTGCAGATCAACTTCTGGTGTGATAAATAACCATGGTGGAATTGGTGACTCTGGAACCGTGAAGCCAAACTAAAACTGAGTCAAACCAAGATTTTGAGCTTTTACCGGTATGTCTCCAATCCATCCAAAGCTATTATAATCAGATTTATGATGTTCCCAACAGTCCTGTAGCACAGCCTTAGTTGGATGACATGGCCAAAATTAGTAGGATCTGTTCTGTTTTAAAGTAAGTACAGTAGCAGTTGCACCAAGAGATGGATTCTAACCAGTAAATGTTGGGATTTTATACCAATTTATGTTAAAAGGGTTGAAAATGATTTCTATAAAAAAAAAAAGAAAAAAAAAAGATTTCGTAGCGTTGTCATCACATCCCTATTTAGTGGACTAGGCTAATTATTTATCATACAAAGTAAAGCTACTTCTATTTTAACTTATATTTGTGGTTTATCTAATGAGTTGTTGCTGATGTTAATAGCTGTACATAGGGAGAATCTACTGCAGCGTTTTGTTTACAAAGGATCTGGAGTAGCCTCTGGCTGTAGCTTTTTCCATTGGTTGGAAGCTGAGAATATGTCAATAAGGTACATTTAAAAGACTGAAATATTAATTAGATATAATGGCAGGTCAGTGTTGCAGCTGTAAGCACTTTTACTTTGCAATAAGAACGTTCCTGAATCCCAGCTGAGGCTTTGCTTTGGGTAGTTTGCATGGTTTACACGAGCACATGGACGCTTTTTCCAACTTTCTTCATACATCCATGTTGGTTTTATAGTTATTCTAAACTGCCTAAATTTGTGTGTTTTTGCACGGTGTGCACCTCCACCATTCCAAGTTTTTTTTTTCTCAATTTCTTGCTGAAAACTTTAAATTATTGAGGAAACAAAGTTAAATTCAGAATAAAGCTGATATCGAGATTCCTACACACAATAAATGGACAATAAGGGACAGCAAATACTGGTACTATATATTTTTTATTTGCTTAATATTCACCAAAATCTTGAAGTGGATGTTTACAATTCTGATATGTTTTTTGAATAGGTTAAACATGTCTGTGTTTATGCATGTCTAGTAATTTATTGTGAAAAAAATAGCATGAATATCAATTTGTTTTCTGTCATTGAAAGAATCTATGCTGGTAAATGTGTATAATTTACTTTACGGCAAGTTTCTATAATTTCTTAGGACCCTATATTGAAGTACCTGTTAAGATTGTACAGTTACTCGGTTACTGTCAGTGTTTCACTGCTGAGTCTAACTTATGGGACATAAACAGGATGGGTGATCTCTGATCCCTGTCCTTGTGTGTTTTCTGTCCTCTGATGTAGTGTACTCTTTAATCCAATCAGGGAGGGAGAGAGTGTAATCCATGTTAATCCCAGGCAGAGACAGAGCGACCTCGGGATGCAGCAGATCATTAAAGAGAGACAGAACCACCAAAGATCTCTAATGGCCATGTCCCAACATGGCTTTAATTCTTAGGCAGTAACTGAGACATTTTGCAGCAGTTTCTCTGTTTCTGTTGCTGTAATTCTGTCTCATCTGATCTCATCTAACAGCTGCCTGGTTGTTGTCAGGGAAACCTCCCCACAGAGACGCACTCTCAAAAGGCAGGGGAGGGCTTTGCAGGAGAAGAGACCCTCACCTGGATCTGGATGGAGTAAGCAGAGGGGATGAAGGTGGAAAGAATGCAGCAAAGAGAAAAGAGGGAAGGTTACCTGTGGAGGTGCATGTGAAGTCCATACCTAAAAAGGAAAGTTAAGGGAGGAGCTGGATGAAGATTAACTTTTCAGGTAGGAGAGCTTTAGAAAAGGAAGGTAGTTTGCATTCTAATATGTTTATGTTATCTTTATTTTTTTATTATTATTTTTTGTACTTAATAACATTTATAACCTTTTAAAATCATAGGATGGGCTATGATCTGGATAGGTTTGTGGGCTATGTCAATGAGGGTCTGCTCTGCTGTGTGTGTCGGGACGTGCTGGAACGCCCTCTCCAGGCGCCATGTGAACATGCTTACTGCAGCGCCTGCATCAGCAGCTGGCTGCTCCATCATCACTCCTGTCCTGAAGACAGGCAGCCCCTGGATGTGAGCAGTCTCAGACCACTGTACAGGTGGATCCATGCACCCGCTGACTTCTCACTGTTAAAGCACCTTCATCAGGGATGAATTACACATATCTGAGGGGTTCTGCTTGTTTAATGGTAGGTACATGCGCAATGACCTGAACCGCCTGCAGATCCGCTGTGTGAATGCAGGACAGGGATGTGAGATGGTCTGCTCCCTGGAGACTGTCCACACACATGAGGATGAGTGCGAGTTTGCCTTTATAGCCTGTTCCAACACAGGTAAGAAAACCACTTTCTGAATAAGGCCAGGCATGTGTTAGATATTGAGTGTTTAATTTATGACACTAACTCTAAACTGAAGTTGTATCTTCTTGGGAGGCGTGTGACACATAGGTAATGTGAAACCATTAGCTGAACAACAGGTGGCTCATCTGTTGTCATGGCTCCATATGGTCATCAAACCCCCTCACAACATATGTCTTGTGCTTATATATATTTTTTCTACTTTAATGCACTGAAAAGCTGTGCTTTTTAACCCATCATTTAAACCTGACCTGTCATTGTTAGGTGGAGAGTACATTTGCTACCGCTGTGGTACGTAAAGTGATAATTGTGAACATGCAGTGAAGTTTGTTTTTGCAGTGCTTTTAAAATATACAGTGCACTTTTGTTGCTGAGATATCTGTGAAATGTTGTGATTCTTCAGTATAAATATGCATAAAAAAAATAAAACTCTACTACTTAAGCAGTTGGAAATCCTAGAACACAGTGTTGATAACTCAAATGTCCATGAATGATTTTTTTCCAGCCACAGGTAAAATATATCTTCTGGTTTTGTTTGTGAAAAGACTTTGTATTTTCTTCTTCTTTCAGTAACTTACAGATCTTTCTTCAACATGATGTTGAAGCGGATCTGTGAAAGTTGAGATGCATTTCTGATTTTCTATTTACATTTACCGGTACTAAAATCTTTTTAAACATTTGTCTTGTCAAGCTGTTTAAAAATACAATACTGTTTTATTAATATTATAAATATATATGCGTGTATGTAGAGGGGGGTATTGAGATTCTCCCTTTTAGAACAACTAATGAAATAATAGCTTTTAGGATGTTTAGGAGAAACTGAGAAGCCACCACAGTTAAATCCAAGCTGATGCAACCATAAGATTTCTGGAGAAAGATTTATAATCGGGCAAGAAAAAGATGAATCCATTTGGCATTAATGGAAAGAGGAATTAGGGGAATCAAGCAGAGGCTTCCAAACCTTTTACTCCTGTTGTCAGGCATGGTGGAGACAGTGTCATGCTGAGATGCCATTATTGCCACCCTTGGTACTGGTAAACGGAGCTAAAAGTACATGAAATAAGGAGAAAAGAGGACGCATTCAAACTCTTAAGCTCAACTCAGATCTAAAGCTAGATCGGTCACATTCTGACTCATCTGGTTGTTCCAACTGGACAATAACCCCAAAACAGACAATTAAGCTAATTTTAACTAACTAAAAATGGGAGTTTGCACACTTATGAACAGAAATGTCAGATCTTAAGATCTTAAGACAATAAGTTGTATGTTTTATCTTTCTGTAAACATTGCAAACTGGCCATTAGACAAAAAAAAGAAAATGACTAAAAAACAGATTTCAGCTTTTTTTTGTCTTTAGTTTGTCTCTAATCTTTCTTCTGGATTTAAACCAAGTCAAACGTTTAAAACAGCAGAAATCTGCAGAAATGTTACACAGTAATCATGCTGCATCTGTGACTGTTCGGTGACCGTCTCCTCTCAGGTTGTCCTGTACAGGTAGAGAGGCGGGCTTTGGAGGCCCACCTGTCCGAATGCAACTACCGCAGTAGAGAGTGTCCCAACGGCTGCGGTCATACGGTCCACGCCACCGAGCAATCACAGCACAATTGTGTAGCAGAGCTGCGCCTGGAGGTGGAGATGATGAGGTTCGTTCACAGAGTGTCCACCAAGCATCCTTGTCCTCTGAATCATTACACATTTGGGATGGTACTGTGTGGTTGCTGGCACACATTTGCAAATAAGAAGGAAATGTTATTTGCAGTGAAAATATTAAAAAGTTGTGACTTTTATTCAGCCCTCTGTAATAACGTACTGAATTTGTACAGAAGGAAATTATTCATTTTCAAATGCAAAATAGCTTAAGTAAAGAGTGTGAAATTCAAACCTTTAATTATTCTCAGATTCAGAAGTGTATTTTTTTTTTTGTGAACTTTGACCAGGTCATTCTTAAATAGGAATATTTCATCTATTGTAGCTCTGGTCATCTCTTTAGAGTTTTCGTCCTGTCAAGATGATGAATCTGCAGCCAAATTTTCTTATTTTTATTGGTGTCTGTCCAGAGCATCCTTCTTCTACATGTTCCCAACATGCTTTCTAAAAAAAAAAAACAAATCTGCAGTCTTATGGCTTTCTTCTTCCTATCATCTTTTAGGATATATCATCAACTCTTTTAGTTTCTCTCTGACCTGACTGGTTTGCTGCTTGGTCTTCATAGATGAATCTTATGATATGGATACATTTCCTTCATAGGGCAGAGATGCTGTGCAAGGTGGAGGAGGTGAGGCGAGAGATGGAGTCCCGGCTGGACTCCCAGAGGAGACACATGGTGCAAAAAGAGTCGCAGCTGAAGAGTGATGTAGAGGAGCTCAAGGTGAATTTTCACTCCCTAACAGTTGAAGTAATCAAACTACAAAAGTAGACATTTGAAATTCCCCAGTAAAGCATAAGAGGCAGTCAGCAACTGACCATCACAAGATGAGCTTATTTTGGTTATTTGATCTATTTCCAGCTGTCACAGAAAAGCACACGGATCTATCTGATCGGGTTTGTTATTTCTGTAGGGTCAGTTAACCCGTGTGATGAGCGACATGCGAGCCCTGTTAGGAGCAGAGCGTCTGAGGAGACAAGAACTGGCAGAAGCAGAGGTGGAGAAGAGAGAGCTGCTGGAGCTCCTCAGAGACATACAGCCAATGAGGAGTCAGCCTCCCACTGAGCAGGCAGCCAGGGATCAGCCCACGGGTGACCTGCAGGCTTCCAGCTGGGAAACGCACTCGGGTCTACCGAGACACCAGCAGAGAGAGGCGTTGCTGCATGCCTCCTGTCTGTCTCTGCATTCTGCTCAGGTTCCCTGTGCTGCAGGCCCACCTGCTTCCCCCCAGCTTGGGGAGGGAGTCCGTAAGGGCAGCACCCGCAGTCTGACTCTAGACTGCATCAAGAAGAAGAACCGTGAAGTGACGGTCATCTGAATACACCAGAGCTTTAGACTGAAGCATCTTTTACAAATTTCTCTAAGCAAAGATTTTGAAATAAAAAAAATACCCTTATATAGTCTACTAGTTCATTCATTTGTTAGAAAAGAAATAAAACAGTTTTCAGCTGACCATATGCTTCCTTTGTTTTTGTACATTGGTGCCTGAAAGGTTTAATATAGAGCAAAACATCCAGCGAACTCATTTCTAACAATTTATATTTAACTTATTAAATAAACAAAAAGTGAATTGTTTGTTTCAGTTTAAGGAAACCTATTGTAGCTGGCTAAAATGTCTTAAGAAAAATTAAAAAGAAATAAAGATTCATTATGAAATAATGAAAGATGTACTTTAGTTTTTTTATACATTTATCTATAACCTGCTGTAATATGAGAGGCCTCATAAAGAAACAGACATTTAAATGTGGAGATTCAATACTTTGGTCAACAGCAGTTTTTTGTTATTTATCTTTTCATTGTGGGTTTTCAGAGCCTGGGCAGATGAGCTGAAATAGGAGAAGCAACAAGCTGTGAGCCTGGGGGCGTGGCCTGCATACATAGGAGGAGAGAATTTGATGATCTTTGTGCATCAATAGTTAATATGGTGTACCCATAGAGTCACATTGTGGGATTAGCATTTGACAAAACTCAAAACTTGCCATAAGTGAGATAATTTGTCCAAAGCAGATTGTTCACCTTCACATATAGCCATTTCCCTATAGCCCTTTATATATTTGGCTTCACTAGTGCTGTTAAAACTAAAAAAAAAAGTTTTGTCAGCTGAGTCCCTTACTTTTTTGTTTACCAACCCTTGAGGATGTTTAACAATCTATTCACACAGTTTTCACTGATTACTAATAGTCCAGAAATGTTATTTTTCTCACTTTCCTTTAAAGTGTGAAAAGTAATATTCATCCATTTTTATTATTATTAAAACACATACTCAGTTACATCCACCCTTTATTATTCTGAGTCAAAACAAAAACAAAATAAAAAAAGTAAACATCTCAACAAAGTCAGTGTGACACCATACCGAGACGTTTCCATAGAGACAGAAAACATGAATCCATATTGGTCCGTTTTGTAGCCCTCTAGAGGCTGAAGTCACTGCCCAGGTGGATTTACCTGGTGAAGGAGCGAACATGTCTGCCCCTCCCACCTCCACTTCCTCCCCCACCGCTGAACTTGCTCCCCTGAGATCCCCTTCCTCCTCCTCCTCCCCCTCCACCCGCAGCGCCGGCTCCTCCTCCACCAAGCCACGACAGTCCTGTGCCTCCTCTGCCTCGTGGGAGTCGATCCCGAATGGCCAACCGGTAAGCACCTAAGAGGCAGGACATAGTAGAACAGAATGTTCTTTCTTAGGTCAATGTTCTCCCAAATTTACAGCCCAGAAATATGAGTGATTAATTCAGATTAGATGCATAAAGCTAATTTGGTTAATGGTTACAATAGAGATTGTGAATCTCAGAACAGATTCATTACACACACAAATGTATCAAAGTGTGTTTTACTGATAAATTGAATTATTATGAATTAAAAGATAATAAAAATGTTCAATGTATTTTTAAAACAGAAATCTAAGCTGATTCTATTTACATTCAGCACTTGGTGCAAGTTCTTTACCAAAAGTATTTGGTAAAAAGGTTTCTCAGTTACAGAGTAATGGATCACAACATCTGACTTACTATTTAAATCATGTAATAAGACAGACCAAAAAGTTAAGTTATGAGAAAACTCTGGTATTTTTAAACCTGTAATAAAATAAACAAAAAAGTACTTGAAAAATAAGAAATCCAAGAAACTAATCCAACTAAGAGAGACCAATACCTCCAATGAAATATTAACTTCTTACTGCATGTTACCTTCACACTTCCAGATATAAAAATATGAGGTAAGCTTGAGTACAAAAAAAAATGTAATTTTATTTAGACATAAACATTAATTGTTTCTTGTCTAAAGCACTTTAGTTTAAAAACAAGCTAAAAAGGTTAGTTTACCGACGCCGGATGCAGTAGCAAAACATTTTACGGTACTCAAAAAAGAGCAGCAAGATTTTTTTAGGATATTAAACAAGTAAAAAGCATTTTGTAGTAAAACTCGTAAAAGTAGACTTGTGTCGAGAGGTTGTGTGACCCTCCCTATTAAAGGCCCCAGATGTAGGCTATAAGAAGGTCAGAGCAATGCTGCTTTAAGAATCCTCTTTTTATCTGATATTTCCCCTTTTCACAATTTATCAAGCTGAAGTCGGCATTACATTATTGGTGTCAGATGCAACACTCTGCAAGCTAATTTTATATTCAGCCACCCAGATGGATTGTCACCACCTGAACTGCTTGCATGATAGAGTTTACTAGCTGAGATCCTTAAAATCACTAAATGTGAATTAAAAGGGGGTCAATGGTGTCACTGGAATATGCAGTAATATCTTTGTAATGGCTTACATTAAGCAGTCTTTCTAATATTTTCCATGAGTCTGGAAACATCTGAGCATGTTCAATCTATATAAGAAGTTTCACTTTTTGAATTGAACTACTGAAATAAATTAACTTTAGGATGCTGATGCTTAGCGAAGATGTTCTAGTATATGCATGTTTGCGGTGAACGTACTTGCAGGCGGCTGTCGGGATGGCAGAGGCCCGCGGGCGAAGTTGCTCTGTCCCCCACGGGGTTCACTGTAGGTTCCTCTGTGGGTCACAGTGGGAACTTGGCCGCTCCATGATGACCCACGGCCTCCCTCTCTTCGAGCATAGTTACCTGCAGCACCAAAAATCTTTGTTACCCTCTGCTGGCCAGCAAAGGAAGCACAACTTTCAATGTCGAAAATAAACACGTCACCTGATAGCAGGACACCTTTGGGCTGCAGTGGAGTGAAAAAGCGGGTTTGGCTGTGAAAAGCCGCCCTGCCTCTGTTACCAGGGAACAGTCCCCTCGTGGGGGGCTTGGGTGTGTTTTTAGGCAGACGTTTAGGAGGAAGAATTCCAAGTGGGTTACCAATGTCTTTAAACTCTGCTGCCACAAAGTCATCCACATGCATGCTGGGAGGACGGGAAGTGTTCTGCTTGCGCTGGCGGAAAATATCATGGGGTCGGGCGATGTTCTGTCCAAACCCACCTCGACCTCCACGGCCACGGGGTGCTGGCAGGATGTGGGCTCTTTTAGCAGGTTCAATGTAGTCGGACTTACCGCTGCAGGAAGAAGCACAAAAACAAAGGTTATGTTTTAGCCTCCTGTAAAGTTTGTACTATAAAAGGTGAAGCTAGCGTTGCACTGCACCTGGATGTGATGAATGTCTCGTGTTTGTGTTTGCCCAGGCGGAATCCTTTGGACGTCTTTGTGTGACCGGGAGAGGTTGGCTCTGATAGGAAGGAGCGCTCCAGCTCAGCCTTCAGGTCCAGTTCTGGACAGCACTCCTGAGCCAAGCCTACCAGATCCACCTTCACCTAAACCAGCGTTCGGAGAAAGAGACAAATAAAAGCAGACCAAAACTTAATCTGTGCCTAAAGATGAAATCTTTGAACCAAAAGTGGAGCCTTATAAAACACTTACCATGTCCAGGTCAGGTTCTATTTCATCGCTTTGGAAAGGAGAGAACCACAGAGCTTTAAGTTGTTCATCCAGAGCTTCTGACAGGATAAACACCGTCCTGCAGGGGGATCAGACAAAAGCGTCTTTATTTTTATTTTTTACTTCCATTTTGTTGTAGGAAATCAAATATTTAATGCTTGGTTGGTTGAAAACAACTATTAGAACTGATCCATATGAAGTTGAAATCTAACCTGTGATTAAACTGGGCGGCCAGTGTTTCAGGTGTGGGCAAAATGGGTTCGTTTTCTACCACTGAAGGCGTTTCTTTGGCTGTTTCCAGCGTCTGTTTCAGAACAATTACATTCTCCATCATGGTTTCCAGGGAGTCGTCTTCTTTGCATAATTGCTGCACACAAGAAAACAAGCAGTCAAATATGGCTACATCAACCATTATGAAGGAAGACCTGTAAATCTGCTCATCATAAATACCGCCATTAGCTTCTCTAGCTCCATAAGTGGGTGGGACTCAGAGTCCTCCCACTGCAGGAGAGACTTCATCTCTGAGCCAGACAGCAGGCGTGGAGCAACACAGACAGGTTCCTCTCTGGACCCTTGGCCCTCCTCTGCACACTGCAAACAAATCAAAGCTCATAGTTCTGAATCATTAACTTAGAAAAGGGAAAAGTTATTTTCCGTTTATGCTGACACAAAGTAAAAAGGTTTTAAAAAGAATCAAGCGATCATTTCACAAAACCATAAAGGTTATTTTAAAGTACTGAGAACTGAGGTTATAAATATATCTAAATTTATATAAAAAAATTTCTATGAAAAATGGTAAATAATTGACAAGCTAAGATTCCCTTTCACTTCAAGCAGCAATTAAAACACCAAACCCTAAAAAATAAAGTTAGCATTTTAAATGCTTCCACTATCCAGAATCGTCCTAAAATATCCACTTTTCTAAGAAGCAAAACCAGTCAAGCCGACGGCAGAAGTCGTTCAAATACTGTTGTGTAAGAGTGTGTAAATAACTCAAATTCAAAGAAGCTGGCCACTAGTGTTAAACAGTGTTGAGAAAATATTTTGTAGGTACTTTCCCTTGAACCCTACAGTGATTCAAAATCAGTGACTTGTCATCATTAGACAAAGAATGCCTCTTGAATGCATTAGACAGGGATGTCATTATGGGTATGCGTTTTTGCTGGTGGTCAAGCAATTAAAACCAGTCTGATTGTAAGTCAAAATACCCAAAATTTCATCTGAATAGTTCCCATTCTGCCTAATGAGTCTTTACTCCTTTATAGAAGAGCTCAGCCTTTCAGGCCCTTTACAGGGTTTATACAGGAATAAGTGACTCTAATTTAATGCTCTTTTCATGCTATTAGAAATATTTTTAATGCCATCAACAAGTATCCATGACTCATATATATATATATAAATATATATATATATAAAAACATGGCAAAATCCTTCGTCATCTTTGCCATCGAGAGGCTGCAGCCATGTTCCGAACTCCTCGTTTTCCAGCCACTTTTGTTGAAATTCGCATTTTCCAATTCTGTAGTTTTTTCTCTGCCTCAAGCTTCTTTTCCGAACATACGGCTTTACGCTCTACCCGAAGCAGTTCCACGCAAATATATCGCAATATATCGCGATGTGATAAATTTGATTTTATAAACTTTTTTTTAATAAAGCATTTTAAATGCCACGGTAATCGAATTTAATGAATTTTAATCCCAATTAACGCCTTAATTTAAAAATAATAATCGAGTGACTTCTAAGTATTTTTAATGACCTGCGGAAACCCTGCTTTAAGCTGACTGAAACAAAGAGACACCTCAACGAAAGCAGACTGAGCAGATTTTATTTTTTACATTACAACTTGGAATTATGGGTAATCTAGAGCGTAGATTAAAACCATAACTGTTACATGCAATGTGTTAATGTGTTAACGACGATGGATACCAAAAAGAGGTACTTAAGTGGATTCCAGAAAAGAAAAAGGAAAGAGGAACTGCTGGAAGAACGGAAAAAACTCCCAAAAATAAACCCGTTCTTTCAAAGAACCGAAGAGGGAGAGGTGGACGTTGCTGCTACAGTGAGTAAAGATTGTGACCAGGAGATGAATGGAGACAGCATGGGTGAGGAGGGGGGGCTGTGAAACTCAAGGTTGGATAAGCATCTCCCTGAAAGGAGTTTTTGGAACTTGGGATGTCTGTGACGTGGTGGTGCGCTGTCACCAATGGTACCACTAAAGGTGCGCAGTCACTATTTTTCCATGTGTGATGTGTGATCATATACTACTTAGAATTACATAATTGTATCTTCTTGGCCGATTTATGGAACGGTCGCCATATCCTGAACCTTTATCACGTGTTGTACTTTATATAGGGGCCAGCCACCCAGATAATTTTGATTACGGGCCTATTGTTGTGTTGTTACGCCACTGCCTTATTCAGTTATCAGATGATCAATTTGATGCCACCTCTCATGGATCATCATGTGTCCATCACTCAGCTCAACTCAATTTTATTTATAGACCTCTTTAAAACAACCAAAGCTGCCACAAAGTGCTGTACATATCAGGTTAAGTTAAAATTGTATAAAACTGGTCATAATTTCAAACAAACTATGTCCAAACTGGAGTATTCCCCGTTGGTGCTCATCGGTATCCATAAAATACTTTATTTTATGTAGTTATAGTATAAATAACTAACTTTACCGTTGAATCTGTGTTCAGGATTTGCCGGAGAAAGTCGAGCAGAGCTGAAATAAGATCTGTTGAGTCCTTATTAAAGGAAACCACCAGCCTTTTCAACAGCGAGAAGATCTCTGAACCATGTTTCCTCAATGTGCTAGAAGAAAGAAAAAGAAGTGAGGTCTGAAAACTTAGAAAATGCCAGAAGCTCAAACATACGTCAAATATGATGAAACCAGAGGAAAAGAGGAGAACTTGTTATTTACACTTTGAGGTGGTAAATTCCATAGTCGTGCTCGGTGAAGAACGTCAATGTCCTGATGCAGGTGAGAAGGAGAGGGATGCTGGCCTCTTTATTCCCTAAGACCTCCAAGAGGGAATTACACACTGAAGACATGATCTCCCGGCCTGGAAGTGCATTAGCCAGCTGTTCAGCCTCTGACATGCAGGCCTCTCCAGGAGGCGGCACCACCAGAGCAATGTCCTGATGAAAAAAGAAACAAAAAAAACAACGATGAATACACGGTTTAACTTAACATATTTCTTCCCCACTTAGTAGTTCCTCAGATCTTACCTGGTCACACAATGACTGCAATATGGTTCCCACTAACACACTGCACTGCTGTTGCTGTAAGGAGTGACCAGCAGGGGGCACCAACAGAGACAAAAGTACAGGGAACAGGTCTGCCACCTGTTCTTCTCCAGAAACCAAGCTGGACAGCAGGTGAAGCGTGGAGCTCTTGCAGGCTCTCTGTGACACCAGAGCATCCAGCAGAGAGAGAAGACGCAGGACTTGGCCCCAGCAAACACTTTTCCCCTCCGCCCTGTGATTAGCAAATGAGTTTACAGCATAAACAGAAAAGTTCTCTGAAGGTTAAACAGTTTTAAACAGAAACGTCTTGCATTTTTTTCAGCTCTTCCCGAGCCAAAACTTTCTAGAAACACAGTTTGCTAGCACTGCAAGTGCTTTATTTAGACACCTACATAATTAAATCGTTGAAATTTATTCGTCAAAATACGGCTTAAGCTCAGTCATAGTCGATGAAAAGTGTCAATGAGCATAAATGCTCAAATCTTGTCACAGACTTCTAATACAGTTGGGGATCTGACTGGATTATTCTGACACAAGAACTTGATAAAGGGGATGAGGCTTGATGCTGAAAGGCGAGCCTGACCTCAGGGTCTGCTCACTTTTCCTCTCCATTCAGGTCCCCCATCTCGCAAACAACTTTAGATTAGTCTTCCTGCCCCTGCTAAAAAAATACAAGCCCAGGGCATGATGCTGCCATGACTATTTGATAAAGTGTGGTTGGTGTATGCAGTTTGTTTTCCTCTATGCTGCGAACAGGTTACTGCTGGTTGATTTGGATTCTATGAGTTTTGCAGACTCTTAAAAATCGAATTTTCATCACAATTATTTCCTACTTTGTCCTTAACTTTGAGATAAACCCCCCAAAGATGCATCAACAGTTCGAATAAAAAAAGTAAAAACATTCCAGGGTTCTGAATAACTTTTGCAAAAAGGAGTAGATTTTACTCACGGCTGCAGCTCCTCAGACAGCAGCTCCAACACGGTCTTCATGACGAGCGTTGCAGTGGGTGAGGACAGGTCTGCCAGCTGGACGCAGATCCTCCTCAGCATGGTGAGGAGAGGCGGGCAGCTGGTGGAGCACACACACCTCAGCACCTCAGACAGGACCTTCCACTGGACCCGAATGTGCATGCTCCACAGCTTCCTAGTGTTTAAGGCTATAGCGACATCTTGGATTGATAGTGCCTTTGGAGATCAATATCAGGATGTTAGTGTCCGTTTGAAAGGTCACTGAAAAGAACGGGTGCTGAAGAGAACCGACTGAGTCACCTGAGTGCTTTGCATGGGCAGAGGAAGAGGCAGCAGCTCAGACAGCAGCGTCAGGCCTGAGAACAAACCTTCAGGAGCTTTTAAAAGGGAATTCAAGACTTCTTTCAGCATCAGAGACCAGGTGTTACTGGCCAAAGTCTCTTCTGTGTGAGTGACCTGCAGAGATAATCATTCATCCCATCAAACAGACTGAGAAAAACAAAGTTTCTTTCATATTTTCTCCATGTAACCATGTCTTCAGTGTGAGACACCAACCTGTTCACTGACGCCCTGTGTGAAGGTGAGCAGGACATCCACGATGAGGGCCTGCACTCTTGTCTCTTCTCCATCCAGACGCCCAGATGCTGGAATGGAGCACACTATCATGTGGAGCGTAACCAAAACATTGGCAACGCGAGTGTCTCTGAACTGAAAAGCTCCCCCGCGGAGCAGCTCGGTCAGCATGGTGCGCAGCAGCCTGAGCGTGCTGATGCATATGCTAAGGATCATGCAGCGCTGCGGTGTTGGACCCATGTGCCCAAGCATTCGCCAGGGCTGCAGGAGCACGCTGCAAAGCTTTTGAAGGACGCGTACGCATGTATCCAGACCCTCCCCGGAGAACAGCTGGACGCCTGCAAGACTCCACTTAAGATCCCTCTGCTGACCTGCAGAATGGGGATGGAAGTAAAGTTGTGAAATGCAACCAACAAAATAAACGGCAGATTTAACCCCTTTAGTGAATTGTATTGTTTGAAATAATTTATTTTGTTACCTTCAACAGCTGGAGGTGGACAGGCAATGTGATAGAGCACTCTCAGAGCAGAGACCAGCCCAAATCCATCAGCATTTAATACATTTTCCACGTTCTGACAGCAAACAAACACTTATTCTGTTAGAATTCACAAGCTTTTAACTGACAGTCACATCTTTGAGTTAAAATAAAAAGTATTTCCTGATTTTTTTGATTCAGCTATTGCACATTTTAACTGTTTTGGTTTGTCATTACACATGGGGCTAATGTGTACATCATCCATCTTAAGGTTGCACATATAATTATTTAGGAGCATCAGAGAAAAGAGAGCTGAACATAAATAAACACCACACTTTTTAGACTTTAATCGACAAAAATATTTTAAAACTATGATTTCCTTTGCCTTCGACTTCATAAATATGCTCTACTGGTTATTCATTAAAACAAAACATAATCAATGTAAGCAATCAAAAGATTTTGTGGCATTGAGCCCAAAAGTACCAAGTTGCAAACATGCAGTAAACAAGGAAACTAGATGCAAAAACCTTGTATGATGCAAACTCCAAAACACACACATTAGAAAATAAATGCAACAGAAAAACACTACAAACAAAACAAATCATTAAAAATAGAAGCAAAAACCTACAATCAAAAAAACAAACAATGCAGCAACCACAAACATCATGTTGCAAATAAATAATAAAATAACTAAATGTTGTGCCAACTTGCTCTGAAAAACTGAAGCCGTCCGGACCAGTAGAAGGAGTTGAACAAAGAACAAACTATATCAGACCATAGAGTTACCTATATTACAATACATAACTATGCTGTTATTCTGTAATACTGTGTCAGACAATAAAATGAAAAATAGCAAACCTGTCCTTTCTTCTTCCAACTTTCTTTATTCTTTTTAAATCCTGTCATAAAGCTTGACTTCCTGTATGCACTGAGTGTTTGTTGAGGATAGTTCTTTTTTCGACTCCTGCTAGAAGCAATTCAGGTTGTTGTTTGCAACATTTTTCTTTAGTGCCAAACATGTTTTTGCAGCTTTTTTTATTGTTTATTGCGCGTTTGCACCCGTCGCTCACCATACGAAAGATATGCAGCATTTCTACCGTGAAGCGATATGTTGGCAATTTATAGTCTCCTAAAATGTTGTGACAGCTTTAACGCCACCCTGAATCTGAGCTGTCACAGTTTGTAAGAAAGCAGCATCAGCTTGAGAAATGCAAGCACGGTTAATGTGGTGGCTTAAGAAAAAAAAAGATTTTTATTACCTAAAAAAAAAAATGCTACAAAGTTAAAAAATATCTAGCAGTAAGTAATTTAATTCTGTTGAATTCAATTAAAAAATGTTTTATTAATCCAAAAGGGACATAAAATGTGGCAGTAACTCATGGTATAAATACATCAAAAGGGTATAAGTACCGTCTCACATAAAATTTGAAAACTTATCTTTATATTAAAGGAAAAATAACATCTTCTTTAACCAAATTTGTACTGAGGTACTTAAAAGAAACCTTCACCTGTTTGATGTAGTTGATGAGAGTAGGAATGCTGCTAATTTCAAAGCGAAGCTTCTCCAGAGGCTCCAACCATTTACTAAGCTCTGTAATGTAAAAAAATGTATTAATTAAAACCCATATGATCAAAATCTAAAATGTTCTCCATCAGCAAAGAGCACTGTGGTCATATTCACCCTGCAGTTTGGCATTAGCGTCATCGGCCTTGGCTACAGCGAGCAGCGGAGCAGCATACTGTTCCATCATCCGCAGCTCGTTAGAGGTCTGCGCCACCATTAATACCAACATACACGCATAGTTATACGTCACTGCTTTACGAGATTTGGCCTCACTGAAAGAAAAACAGCAAACAACTGCAGTTAAACATATTCGTAAACATTTGGAAAGACCAGCAAAGATGCACCAATCAGGCTCCTTCTCCTTCCAGCTTCCTCTGATGTTTTCTGTTGGACATCTTGGCTAAAATTCAACAAAATAAACTAAAGGAGATAACACCTTAATTAGGTCTTAACTGACTTTTGTAATCAAACAGAGAAAATTACAAAGTAGATGTTGGCTGATTTTTTTATGGGAGTTTTGAGCTTTATTTAGGAGAGTTTTCATTATTTAATCAGTCCAATAATTATAAACTGTTGGATTCTGCTCTCTGGATGACTGATTGGTGCACAAAACCAATTAAAGACAGCTGTACCCCTGTGTCTCCTTGCTGTGATGCTGGATGAGGACGACCAGGCAGGACAGGTTGTTCTCCAGGCTAAAAACATGAGACACCGCGCTGCGACCGGTCTGTGTGAAAGTCATCAGGTAAAGGGCATGGAGCATGCCCAGGACCTCAGGGTTGTCCCCTTCTTCTAGGCCCATCCCTCCCTCTCCTCCAGCTGCCACATGGCCCATGAGTTCAGACACACCCTGCAGAGCGTGGAGGGCCTGCATCAGCCACATACAAAAACCCTCTTCACCGAAGCCTGGCCCAGAGAGGGCCCCTTCCCCTGCTGTCAGCACATTCTCCTCGCCTTCTTCTGCCACTGATGCCAGGAGACGCAGCAGAAGGTTGGTGGGTGTGGCCTGGGACAGAAGGAAGAGCAGGCCAGGCTGTGTGAGCGACAGGAAGCGGAGGAGATCTCTGACAGCCTGAGTGATCCCAACGTGTCCCGCCGCAGCAGCCGCTGACAGAACCACGATAGTGCTCTCTAAGAAATGGCACGCGTGCATGTACCTGACAGGGAGAGGATGCAAACAAACAACATATTTAGCTCATCAAAATAAAAAAAAAGTCCTGGAGGTAGGCACTAGAAGGACTTTGGCAGCTGTACCTGTACAAAGTTGGGTAAGGGTTGTCCCTTTCTGGGGGTCCTGTTATTCTGGCTGTAGTTGGGAAAGCTTTCCCAGGGGGCTGCACCATGCAGTGAGGGGCGGTCTCCAGCAGGTGATGAAGCTCCTCTAAAACCCCAGCAAGCCTTTCAAGCTCAGCCTCACCAACAGGGGAGGAGCTAAGAGGTGGATCCTCCTCCATGGGAGTCTCAGTATCCTCCATCTCCTCCTGAAAATCAGAAATCAGGGATTTTTAGATGATCAATTTGACCTTTTAGACTCAGTCTCTGCTTATTACATAGATGGGTGGTGGTCGTGAGAGGCTGATCCCCTCTCGTTACCCTCTGTACACTATATGACGTAGGACGCAGGATGAGGCTGAAACACGGCCCAATCCAAAAAAATCTCCCTGGAGAATCGGCCCAAAAAGGGCAAAAACTCACACAGTGTATGTCTGCCTTTGACTTACACCCAGAAGAAATAAAGGTGAACGTTTTGTTAAAAAATTTCAAGCAATTAAACATTTGGCTGTATAGTGCAAATACAACAAGATGGTTAACCTTACAACTGGATATATATCTGGTTATAGAATTACCAAATTATTCCTTAGTTTCACTGTATATGACCTCTCATTAAAAAAAAAACTGCTGGTGGCAGTCGGGGAATCCGTCTCAAGGGAAACAACACCAGACAAAGTTCAATGGAAAAGAATTGTGGAAAAAATAATTTAATGTAAAGTTGAGGAATAATCAGAGGCTTCAGGAGAAGAGAAACCCAAAGAAGAAAATAGGAGAAAAAGGACCAACTTTAAACAAGGAAAGAGGACTAGATTGAAATATTTATCAATATACTAGTAACATCTTTTCATGTATTTTGTTTTATCAGGGCAGCAGCTTTTTCAGATTACCTGTTTTTTGTTGTAAAAACACCAAGTCAAAAAAATGAATACATAAATAAAAAAAAATATATACTGGTCTCAGAGAAAGTGCACTTCTATTATTATGTAATCATCATTTTATTTGTTTTAAATGCACTCCACACAACAATATTATTGTTTATTGCAATACCTTGATTTGTAATCATGACAGGCCTAATATCTAAGGGTGTGCAAAATAATCGTCATGACGATGCATTGCGATTCTAATTTTTGTGATCTACTGCATCGATTCTTGAAGGCAAGAATCGATTATAAAAATAAAATAAAAAAAAAGAACAAATAAAATACATTAATGGTTGGCGCTAATCAGCCAAACCAAGTGGAATACAACTTCCAGTCCAGCAGATGTCGCTACGGATGTGTTGACGCCCGCTGCTTTGTGTCACAAGCATTTCCGGCCGTGAGATACTGTGACGAATCATATGAAATAAAACATGAAGGACACTATGAAAATTCACCCTGCGGCTCCATCACATTTCAAGTCAGATGCTTGGATGCATTTTGGCTTTAAAAACAAAGAAGGTAAAAACGAAATTGATATGACGCACGTCATTTGCAAAAGGGGAAATATACATTTGAATGTTTTCGTTTCATTGGTTAAAAGGACCACTAAGGCCATGTAAATGGCACTGATTATCTTTATTTTGTTATTTTAAGTTTGATGAATCCTAAGGTCTTTTTGTCAGTGTGTCCACATCAGTAATAGTAATATTTGTGTCCAGTATTTGTTTTCATGGCAACACCTCCAAAAGTCATTTCAATAAATACAGCTATGTACGAATCCAGTTGCTTTCAGTTATGTATCAATTGAAGACACTATCCAGATCATACCCAGCCAGTCAGCCACTGGTAATGGCTGCATCTTTTTCTTACAGTGTTCAGTGAAAATATCGCAATGCATAGCCATGCATCGCAATATTTCAATTATCACGATACATCGTGATAGAATCGCATCGTGGCATGTGAATCGTGATTCGAATCAAATCATGACTTCTTTGCCAATACCCACCCCTACTAATATCTGTGAGTCTGTGCAGTTACCTGCTGTGGTTCACTCCAAGTTGCAGCCGCCTGTCTGAGGCTGACAAGTACCTCGTACACGTGGCTCTTCTGTAAGATGGCGTTTCCTGCATTTATAACCCGGACCGTTTCTTCAAGCAGGAAGAGCTCCACCAAACGCTGTGAAGAAAATCATTGTTAACGCCAAAACAAATATTGTTCCAGAACCACTAAGTGAGTGCTGAGAGCCAGCTCTGATCCTAATGACATTATTTAGAGCACCTATACACATGATCATTATAGTAATTTTATCTTTACGGGTGATGGATATATGCCTATTATCTAACTATTATTTACAAATGAATAAAAGCGATATTAAAAATCCTGCTAACCTGATAGCCACTCTTCCCTGAATTCCCAGCCTGCAGGAAAGCCTCCACTCCAGCAGGAGCACTGATGAGAGCATCCAACGCTCTGAGGATACTGAGCTTCAGTGTGGAGGAGACGTGTTCAGCATGGAGCAGCTCCAGCAGCACATTCAGGGCACCTTCACGCAGCAGCTCTGCTAGACCCTGCGGACACTCTGCCAAACAGGATGCCAGCTTCGCACCAGCTTTCAATTGTCTGAGATTGAGCGCTATCGGCTGTGTGAGCGCAATGTCCATACTCAAAGCCTGGAGAGTCCACTGGACTAAAACACGAACAGGCTGCTCAGATTCTTCCTGTCCTTGTTTAATTAGATAAGCTAGACTTTTGTTCAGAAGTCCTGGAGCTTCCTCCAAAACGGTCACCCAACGAGCATCCCTGTCATCACCGGTGCCAGTCAGTAGTTCTTTTAGTTGAGCAGCAGCCTCAGCCTCCTCTCCGCCTGCTGCTCCTTCTGTTCCACCAGCATCTCTTGGTTCTTCTAAACTGGTCTTTTCCAACTGAGTGTCAAAGCGAGTCTTGTAAGGCGGGGTGAAATAGACAAGAGGTTTGAGCTCTCGTTCGTAAGGATCGTACTGGACAGGAGGGACAGAGGCGAGATCCTCCGGTGTGTAGTCGATGTCGAAGGTGGGCAGCTTGAAGCTACCGTTATCCAAATCATCCTCATCACTGGAAATCTGCTCGTATCCGTCATCGCCTAGCAGGAGAGGGGCAAAGAAGTGCATTAAGTTCAGCCAAGCTGAGCTATAATCTATTAAATACTTTTATATAAATGAGGGGAAAATGAGTTAGAATGAGGAGGCTGAAAAATCAATTCTTTCCCTTCATCAAAACCAAAGCTACTTCATGATGGCAGCATCCCTCCAGCATGCAGGGTTAGTAACAGCATGCAGAATGTGCCTAAAGCACATGCTCGGCACCGGATTTGAGGAAGCATCATGAAACGGGTTAATCAAAAACCCTTCCCAGAGGAGCTTAATGCACCATCCAGCAGTTGTAGATTGCAGCATGCCTGAGCAAACGCTTGAGTTGTTGCTCAGTCCCAAACGGAACTTGTCCCCGTACCCCCTCCCCCCCTGCGACGTACCACAAGCGTTCGCAGAGCTCAAAGGACCGTCAAAGGGGGGTTTCGGGCCGAGTGTCCATTTGGGATTGTGGATTTTTTCCCCCACTCTCATGCAAGAACTCCCCTACCTTCCTCCATTTCCTCCTCCTCGTCCTCGTCCTCACCCTCATCCTCCTCTTCTTCCTCCTCCTCCTGCATGCTTCCCTCAGTCCGTGCTTCCTCCTCCTCCTGCTCCTCTTCCTCCTCCTCTTCTTCCCCTTCCTCCTCTGGTTCGGCGTCAGAGAAGGGTTCGTCAGCGGGCAGCGACCTTTCTGGAGACACGGCTTCTAGGTAATCCTCACGGCCCTGGCTGGGTTCTTCTTTGACCACACCCACTGTAGAATAAACATCAGAAATAACAAATCGGTTATAACACGTATAACTGATAATTAGGTAGAGTTAATTCAATTCAATTCAGTTTATTTATATAGCGCCAATTCCCAACGCGAGTCATCTCAAGGTCCTTTATAGTTCAACCACATCATGCAGTCAAAATGATTCAAAGTTTTCTATCGAAGGAAAACCAGTTGATTGCATTGACTCATTGACTCTTCAGCACTCCCTCACACTAAGCATGCTTGTAGCAACAGTGAAGAGGAAAAACTCCCTTTTAACAGCAAGAAATCTCCAGCAGAACCAGGCTCAGTGTGCAGAGGCTGACTGGGGTCAAGGAGACACAGGCAGAGATACAAAAAGCAACTGTAAATGGCGGTCTTGATCAGGAAACACATAGCCGGGCACATGAGCTCTGAGCCAACTCCCATGTCAGAGGATGAAGAGAGCACACACAGCCAGTCAGTCAGAGAAACAGGACTAGAGGTGAGTATTGGCATGAGTGTTGCGATTTGATACATGTCGCGATACTTGGGTCACGATACGATATTATCGCGATATTGCAGTATCACTATATATTGCCATATTTTCCCCAGCTATCAAAATCAAATGATGAGATAAAACAGCAAGTGCTGTATGTTTTCATCAGAAAATATTGATTAGGTATTATTATCCATGTTGTTTGGGGTTTTGTTCCACTGTGACTGCCTCAAATACAGATTTGGTGCTGCACGCACAGTTAAAGGGCTCCACAGCGCTTTCTGCCAGAGTGGGGGTGCAGAGGTAGCCCATTTTCCCATCAATGTTTTATGTAACCATTTAAAAAAAAAAAATCGATACTAAGAAGTGAAAGATCGATATTATATTGGGCAGCCGAATATCACAATATATCGCCAAAACGATTATTTCCCACACCCCTAAACAGGACTACACTGAAAAAACACGCCGATCTCCAACAACTATAAACAAGGGTGTTTATGGCAGCAGCACAGCTGATATGTGGTGTCACAGCCAAAAAGGAAATGACAAGGCAACGCTACTAGTTAAAGAAAACAAAAGTAGTTTGTATTAATAGATCCAAAATAACTGAAATCTGCCTTTTTGGGGGCTCAAAGTTTAACCCATTTTACTGAGAGACCATCAAATCTGGTCACTTAGTGCTAAGAATCAGCTAAATACTGGGCAACCCTAGAGAAAATATGGTCCAGTCAAAGTCCTGACCTTAGTTCAACTGAGAATGGGTAGCAAGCCTTTGAAACACCTAACAGACGTGAAATCTGCGGTAAAAATGTCAGCCTCTAGATGCAAACAAAGGATTAAACAGACAGGACTTTTAGTTGTCTTTGCAGCAAAGACTTAAATGAAAACAATTCATTATTTTCACTTCATAATTTAGCAACTAAATCTAAATAAATTATATCATATTTTGCTGTTTTAAAATGAGAAAAAGCAGAAAAAAACTGACTGTATAACTAATACAAAAAACTATAATTATACTTATGTAAAAGCACCCCTTTATTGCTTTTTTGGTATATGTTAGAGCCATAAACAAGCAACCAAACAAAATTTAGGTTATAGAAATATTAAGAATTGTTGTGCAACATCAGTACAGGTGTACTTTATTTTGAAGTTTACCTTCATGTTGAAAGGCTTGTTTCCTGTTTTGAGTTTTTTTTTTAGAAATTGATACAGACTGTGAGAGGATTGCGCAGCATGGAGTTATACAGTTGTTGACCGTGTTCAATTTAAATTGTTTTTTTGAAAGGAATGAAATTGTACCGTCATTTTCCTGTATGTCATATTTTTTGGATAGAGAATTTTGGGGTTAAAAATTCACGTTTTTTAACGCGTCCTTCACTTATCAAGGAGCGCAATGAGAAAAACACAGATATGGGATCCTTTACCATAACAGTATGTTTACATGGTATAATACCAGTGACACGTCTTACCTGCCATTGGGACTTGCTCCTCTTCATCGTCATCTGGGGGAGGAGGTCCAGGTGGAGTCCGAGGCCCTCTGGGGCCCGGTCTGGGTGGGCTGCCATTATACTGGTCATCTTTCTCCCATTCTAAGAATAAGACAAACACAGATAACAATCAGCATGCCAACTCAACAGCTCTGAGAGATCACAGGCTGGTCAGCTAAATGGGTTTCTTTTGGTAAATTGTGCAAAGATCAGAGCTGTTAGAGGGTAAGTGGTGCCACCTTGTTTTACAATCCTCTTGAGCCCACTTGGTTGTTGAGGGGGAGGCGGTGGTGGTGGAGGAGGTAAAGCATGGTCCGGTCCGTGAGCACGCTGCGAGGTGCCATAGACCGCCAGAGTCAGGCTAGTGTACCAACCCCGGAGCACTAACCCATCTGTGTTCACCTGCAAACACATTGCTAATTCTTTAGACCCAAATCAACAGAACAGGTCATAAACTATGGAGTTTGTAACTGATCTGTCACCTTTCCACTGGGCCTGAAGACGATGGACTTATTTTCATCGTACTCCAAACTGTGGATATAAAATAAACCAGACAAGACTGAAAGAAAATGCAAAAGCCAAGAGAAAAACACAGACAGGCATTTTCATTTCATTAGGGATTTCTTCAGATCTTTCATACTCCTAGCACCAGAGTGGAGGAGCTCTGCTTTAAGGGATCTATAAACAATAATAAGTGGCCCTGGTGCGACGCTCAATACCTCATTACAGATACGAAGAAGGAGCATGTTTAAAGCAGTCAGAGAGGTTAGCCAAACCAGTCCTCCTGACGTTCCCAGGACAAAGAACAACACAGGTGTGTCTCCGTTATCCTTTCAAAAAGGGAACTCTACATACAAGTTAACGCTCTGTTGCTGCGACACACACCTTCCTTATAAAGAAGGTTAGAATAAAACTAGAGGCAAAAGCATTCCATTTCGCCTCTCACTTTCAGCCCTGGACATTTTTGTGTCACTTTCAGATACAGTGTGGGCGGGGTTGGCTTTCTGGACGGACCAGTTAGCCGGCAGAGAAAACGCAGAGCCGGTAATAAGGATGGGTGAACAACAGTCCTAAGAAAACCTGTTCCACATGCTGCTGTGACTGGTTCTACTGGTGGGACAGACTCTTCTATCTAAAGCGACCGGTAAATGTAGGTAATGAGTATGAGACGGTTTAAAATGACAAAATAATAGAAGAAAAGGTTGGAAATAATTCTGACCTGCCCAGTCTGTGGAAGGTGGGGCTGTTGGGCTTGGTGACATTGTTGAAAAACAACTCCAACTGAAAGGCATGAGGAGATGTCTCCCTGTAAATACAGCAATTACACAGTTAGGACTTTTGCCTGTTTGCATCACTGCATCTTTAAACATAATTACATGGACTTAATGAGTTATCGGTCTTTAAGATAACGACAAAAAGTTTGCAGCACAGATATTAGCCAAGGAAGAGTTCTCAAAAATCTATTTCTAAAAATATGTGATGAGGAAAAAAGTCATCATAAATGACATTTAGCAGAGTATTCTATTGAAAGCTATCAAATCCATTTGTTAATGATTTTCACAGTCTTAATAACTTTTAGATTACATCACAAACAGGATCAACATTCCTATTAGAAATCATCACCTGCACAAAAATGCAGGGCAGGTTTCAAAATTAAAACTTTTATGCAAACCCATCCAAAGCATAGATATTAGATGTCTACAAACAATCTCCCTAGGGTACTGCTTAATAACAGCAACAATCAGGATTGTCTGCACTGAGGAAAGACTATGGTGTTTTTGAAAAAATGGAAATATGTAGAACTAACAGAGAATATTGAAGACTAAGACAGAAATTACATCTACATTGCTCATATCTTTTTCTGGGGCCTTAATGCAAATTCTCACTAGGGTTGTGAAAAGTATAGATACTCAGAAAACTATTGATACCAAAAGACTGCAGCCGGATACAATACTAATTTGGCATGGTATCGATACGAGGATAAGTGTTGTATGCAAATTTTTGCTATTGTTACTGGGTTATTTATTGTGCACATTTATTTAACTAGCATCTGCAATTGGGCAAGCAACCTTTTGAAAGCTTGCTTGCCCAGAGTCCATTGTTGCAGGACTTTTCTGTAATCTTTGTGTGAAAAAGTGCCATCTTCAACTTGCGTGCATGGACCTGCAAGCTAGCTGCAAATCTATCTACATTTTTGTGTGGTGACAAACCCACTTCAAGTGTTTTACCGCCAACCAAAGGGTCGGAGGGAGAATTTTTTCTATCTAACTTTTGTTAAATATAGTGTGATTAAAATTGAGGGACTTCTTGGATACTTTCAATTCTTTTGTTGTAATTAGATATTGACCAACACAGGTTTTTTAAGGTCAATGCCAATATCGATTATTTTCACATCACTTCAATAGCCATTGTAAATATTATTAAAATTTGTCAAGGAAAATTCTATAGGCAGGGCCTCCCTTTCCAGACATCACTATGAAAAACATAAATGTGAATGTCTAATGAATAAGTAAATAGCCATGAAAGAGGTACCTATAAATCAATTTATATATTGTTTTACTTATGAAATACATTCTAAAATAAATGGCCCCTGGTTTAGGCCACTATTGTTTACATTAAACATGACATGACATAAAATGACATGAGAGAAGTCTCAATTTAAACAAAGAAAAAAAAAGGTATTAACAGATCAAAAAAAATATATTAGCAACGTACAGCAAATGAAGGGAGGTGCATGAGCCCAACGTGATCTCAAGACATGGCAGCTAAATGCACAAATTAATCAGCAAACACATGCATGTATTGACCGATACCAATACAAGACAAAAAACAAAACAAAAAAAAAAACAACTATCCGCCAAAATTATTGGTCGGCTGATGTATAAGTCAATCTTTAGTTGTAATTAGCTTTTTAGATATTCACCGAACATACAAATACCGATATTTTTGGCCAATATTAGAGTGTCTTACTTGTATTGTCTAATATGTGCATGAGTTTGATGACTTAGTGTATTCAGCGATCATTCCTTGAGATTATAAAAGGGGCATGCAGTTGGGATCCACTGATAATATTTACTTTGATCTGTTATTAACTTATTCTTTTAGTTTAAATTGAGACTTGTTCAACATTTGTTATCATTGTTTGATGTCAAAAGAATCAGTATGGGCACCACCCAAGAAAAACAAAACAAAAACCCTGTTTTCAGTCAATCTCTAATACAAAACATTTATTTTGCTAGACGCCTTCTATTTCTCAACTAAGGATGTAACAATTACTGAACTTAGAGTGGCGATTAATTACTTGTTTCAAATAATTGTCAATCACCAACCCTTAGAGACAAAAACATGCCATTTACAAACAGAACAAGCAACGTAAGGCAGTAATTAACCAGAGACACAAACTTCCACTTCTGTTCACTGTATAATCAGCTGATCTCTGAATAAGTTAACTTACTTAAAGTGGACATAATAGTTTTGGTAATTTGTGCTAGTAGCACACTAATTTGTATACTAAAGAAACAAAGTATTTTGAATATAATAGCCCTCTTCCAAACAGCAGTAACAGTAAAGTCCCTTGCCAGTGGATTCTAGACAAGGTCCAGCTTTCAATTTTTCAGTGCTACTTGTTGTTCATGGTCCCATGTATTTTCCAATGTTCTTGAATAAAATTCAGAAGCCCTCACAGAACAGGTGTGTTTAAACAGATGTTTGCATCGAGTGGACTATACCTGCCACTTAGATTACTCTTCTCATTTATGGATATTAATAGTCAAATGAGATAAGTATAAAGATGTTGATCAATAAGGCTTTTTAAAAACTGTTTGCATTTCCATTTTTCAGTCGCTGTCATGACTGATGTTTATAATAGGTAAACTGACAAAAAGGGAAGACCTTAAGGATAATGAATGTTTCTGCAGGGTACAGCATTTTTCATCAGACCGCATGCATTAAAAAAATAGCCAATAAATGCTATTGTTCAAGACTGCAGGTTGTGAAGCGTACGTGAATGTGCTGTAGCTCTTACCCAAATGCTCTGTTGTCAGGTAAATTACTATGAGCTTTGATTCCTGGAGGAATGACCCGAACCTCTGTGATCAAAACCCCGCAAGGAAACCGCACCACGTCCACGTTGGTTAGCTGCAAAACAAAAAAATATCGCAGTCATCCAATTCAGCATAAAAACCACCAGTTATTTTTCCATCTCATTTAATATAAACACTGGAAGGATTTTTGTCATACTGTAGCATTAGCCTGTCAGGTATCCAGCACTAGAATAACAGTCTGTAAAGGCTAATAATGACGTTGTGTAATGTTAAGATACTATATTTACTTTATATCATACATAATGAAACGGTTTCACACTATATAAAAAACGCCTTAAACATGATTTAAAGGCAACCTTTTATGACCGTTATATCTGCAGCAACAAACAACTGCTAACGTTAGCCAAGTTAGCATCGTTAGTGACAAAGTTGTGCAGCATTAATAAAAAAAAAACCCTTAAGATGAAATCGATATGAATTTAGCAAGCGGTATATACGGGAGGTAATACGGGACAATGATTCAATGTAAAGCGCAAAATTACCTCTGCACTCTGGTGCTTAAAAGTATCAAGAAACAGCAGCTCCGTCGAAGTGTCCGCCGCCATAGCTTCCTCACAGCGGGACGGAAATAAACTTCCGGTGAAGCCAATACATCCGGGGCAAAGGGCGATGGAAAACAAAAACATTTAAATACATGTCTAATTTAAATAAACGCATACATATAATAGAAATAAACTAGCAATGATAAAATTATTATTATTATTATCATAATAATAATAGTAATAGTAATAATAATAATAATAATTT